TGCCTTAGACATATGTGTTTCATGTGCCTTCTAGATATTAAAGTCTTATTGAAATGTTCAGTCGGAAATCCAATGTCATTCATATAATATAAATTTTTTTTTTAGCGTGGTATTCTTGTGTAAAATGAAACCAATTCTGGATTTATACGCTGCCTGGAATGTCGCGGACTACCTTCGTGAAACCCGTCGATTTGCTAAAGCTATTGAATTTTATGAGGACTGTTTTATTTTCCTGAGGATGTGCATCACGAACGGTTTTGAGCGCATCATACAACGAAGACCTCGCGAAGTTGAAAGACAGTTATATATGGGTCTAGCCATTGCCTATGCCCACACTGGCAATCCAAAGAAGGCGAAAGAGTTGGCCGAAAAATGTCTGGAAATCAACAAAAAATCTGGGATTGAAAGAAGAGAAGCCAACTGCTACGAATTTATTGGTAAGATGCACTTTTATCTTGGCCAATGTGAGGAATCGTTAACTTTTTACAAGAAAGCCCTGGACTTACGGAAGAGAATAAAAGATAAGGAAAAGTTGGCAAATTCGTGTAGTTCTATTTCCTCTGTGTATTTTCACTTATGCCAGTATAACGCAGCAATAAAATACGCTCAGGAGGCTCTTGAGATCAGTATAGAAATTAAAGGTCGGGAAGTGGAGGGGGTCGCTTACGCAGGACTGTCCAATGTATATTTCACACTCGGAGAGTTCGGCAAAGCGATTGAATATTTAATGAAAGACTTGGAAGTCTGCAAAGAGTTTCATGATCGGGAAGGAGAAGCAACAACCTACACCAATCTAGGTGCCACTTACCATGCTTTACACCGAAATGAGAAAGCCATTGAGTACTGCGAAAAGGGACTTGGAATTTTTCGCGATGAAGGAATTAGACGAGGTGAGGGATGGTGCTACCTTAATCTTTTCACCTATTACCTCCATCTTGGAGATTATGCAACAGCCCTAACATATAACGACGGAGCCCTCAATATAATGCGTTCACTTGGTTACAAAGCAGAAGAAGGAGAAATCCTTTACAGTCAAGCTAAAGTTTGCTTTACATTCATGCAATATGAAAGGTCAATAGAGTTTTCAAAGAAAGCTCTTACCATCAAAACAGCTATGGGAGACAAGAGAGGAATATATCGGTGCTACGTGGTCATTGGTCAATCCTATAGCAACCTCGGTCAGTATCAAAAAGCAATTCACTTTGCAAAGAGAAGTCTCAAAACAAGCGAGACATTGGAAAACTTTATTGAAACAGGAGATCCCTGGAGTATCATTGGTAGTGCGCTTTTCTATCAAGGTCTCTACGAAGAATCCATTGAATACTTCACAAAAGTGCTTCAAATATGCAGGGCGATCGGAGACTATTTTGGCGAAGGAAACAGCTACGCCAACATTGCTTCTGCATATTTTGCATTGTGGCAGGTTGAAAAATCAATCGAGTATCACAAAAAGGCACTCCAGATCATGAAAGAAGTTGGATCAAGAGATGGCGAGCGCGTGGTCAACCAAAGCCTAAGCGCCAGTTTTGCGGCAAAGAACAACCATCCAGAAGCGGTCTATTGTCTCTCAGAAAACATACGTTGCCACGAGGAGATGCGAGCGCACCTTGCAGATGAACACAAGTTGTCGTTAGATGACCAAAATATCATCAGCTACAAAATTCTTTGCCTTTTGCAAATAAAGCGTGGCAATCAAAATGAAGCCTTGTGCATTGCAGAACAAGGAAGAGCCCGTGGTCTTGTAGACTTGCTGTCAGCAAAGTATGGTGTTGAGGAGGTCAGTGGTTCAAGAGCACTCAATTTGAATGCTATGAAAGAGCTTGTCACTATGCAACAATCAGATATGCTTTACTTAGCAACTCAGCTAGGACCTTTATCAATTTGGTTCTTAAAGAAAGACGGAAGAATAACTTTCTTTGGGTCTTCCAAGACTGATTCCCATGGAGATGATTTGGCGGATAAACTGGAGGAATTGACAAGAAGCATTTTACATTTGCTTGATAACGTTGACTGCGAAGACCGATCGTTAGCCGCATGGTATGGAAATGAGTTCCCACCTGCAGCAAGGCAGAGCGAGGTATCTGGGCCTACCAACAAAACTGAAAAATGTAAACATGGAAATCTAGAATCAAAGTTACAGTTATTGTTCGAGATGACAATCTCTCCTTTTGCTAATGTTATTGAGGGTCCAGAGATCATAATTGTCCCTGAAGGGTTGTTGTTTCTTATTCCTTTTCCTGCATTGCTTGATTCATCCGGGAACTGCTTGTCGCAAGCGTATAGGATCCGCCTCGTCCCCTCTCTTACAACCCTCAAAGTTATTCACGACTCTCCAGAGAACTTTCACAGTCAGGCTGGAGCACTAATTGTGGGAGATCCGAAGGTTGGCCGTATAAATATTAATGGAAATGTTAAGGTGTTGTGTCCATTACCGAAGGCCAGAGAAGAAGCAGAAATGATATCAGAAATGCTTCAAATTCCATGTCTTGTGGGAGAAGAGGCTACAAAGGATGAATTTTTTCGAAGAATTCGAGATGTAAGCTTGGTGCACATAGCCGCCCATGGTGATGCCGAAAGAGGAGAAATAGCTCTTGCACCCAAGAAATCACTTAGGGGCATTCCAAAGGGGGAGGACTGCATCCTGACGATGAAAGAGGTTGCTGGGGCTCGTATTAGAGCTAATTTAGTGGTACTTAGCTGTTGTCACAGTGCTCGTGGAAAGATCCTTGCAGCAGAAGGAGTGGTCGGAATCGCTCGTGCATTTCTGGGGTCCAGTGCCCGTTCAGTTCTAATGTCATTGTGGGCTGTTGATGATGAAGCCACCATGGTTTTTATGAGCGTATTTTACAGGTGCATGATCCATGAAAAAATGAGTGCGAGAGAAGCCCTTCACCGTTCCATAAGTGTTATGCGAGAATCATCAGAGTACAACAATATGATGTACTGGGCACCATTTGTCCTCCTTGGAGATGATGTCAAATTGAATTTAAGTGGGGAGGTAAGAATGCATATCTCGGAGAGTTTTAAGTCCCATAAAAAAGTGTTACAGTTGTTTTACTCGTGTGAGTGAGTAACGATCTTTGCCTTCCCTTTTGTAAACAAATGTTCTCTCATGTTTGTTTTTAATAATGTAATTGCACCCAAATTTTGGGCCGCTGCTGATGGCCGATCGTCTCTTGTAAGATCGTTGATCAATGTTATTTGCTGTTGCTTCCACTTGCTAACCAACTAGCATCGACTGACGTGTTGATGTTGATGGTTTTTGACCAATGAAATGCAAGTAAATACCTTGATTGCATTTTTTTCGCCAGTACTCTTTAGGTATTTCTTCCTCTTGTTGTTTCTTTATTTTCTGACGATATTCTTTATAATAACTGATAGTTCTTGCGTGTTTCACACTCCTGTAGATGGATCTACTTTCTTTATCATTCGCGATTCTTTTGTTTTTTCTGTCGCTTCATATTCTAAAAGTATGGTACCTCAATTGATTTTACTCTATTTGTTTAAGTTGAAGCATCTCAAAATTTTACGCCCGATATTGAACGTAAAAAAGAAAGACGAATAAGGGGGATACGATTCTATAGAAACTGTGGTACTGCGTCGGTGGGGGAATATAACAAGTTGATTTTAGTTTTATCAACTGAGTTGATAATGTATATTGGCCACCGTCAAAAGTTTCAGAGCTGACGTTTCGGGTGTTAGCCCTTCGTAATAGCGATTGGTCTCAAACGTTTCCAGCGTTCATCCGCTCTGACCAAGGTCTAACGCTCGAAACGTCAGCTTTGAAACTGTTAACGGTGGCCAATTTACATTATCAGGTTATAAAACCAAAATTACCTTGTAAAAAATAAAGGGTAACTAAGATAAAAAAAAATAAATCTAGTATCAGAGGCCAAGGAGCCTCTGCTTCTCTACTTTGCGAATTTAAACCCTTGTGAAACAAAGTAAAGACACTGCCATTGATATGTGACTGCGCTGCATTACACTGCATTTCACTAAGCAGAGTTTGTTATTCTTCCTTTCTCGACAGTGATGCCCCCACAATACCTAATAGCAAATCGAAAATAAAATTCATATCTTCGTACTGGCGAGTGATATGGTGCATTGATTTGTTGGAAAATAAAAGGCGAGTATTCTTCCCAACCCCCCCGCCCCCCTCCACTTCAGAAAATGAAAGAAACAAAACAAAACAAAACGTAGAATACACACGCACGCACAGCAAAATGATGTAGATTCAACTAGCTAACGGTAATTGTCAATTACCGTTAGCTACATCATTTTGCTGTGCGTGCGTGTGTATTCTACGTTTTGTTTTGATGCAGAAGCCCAAGAGGTAAAAACTTTCCGTGAATACCATGCTACAAGGTACAAAGTGAACGTTTAAAGCTGTCAGTATCATACACGGTTTCCAAGGGAAATGCGTCTGTAGATTGGGTTAAATAAGCTTTTTGAAAACTCAGTTCAATTTTTTACCAAGGAAACTATTCCTCTGAAAAGCGTTTTACTTACTGCCGCAATTTTAAGAAAAAACATTTATGTCTTATGAGAAAAGTCGGTTACGCTTTGCTGGTATAAATGGTCAAATGGGATCAGGAAAAATCATCTTAGCACCAAATCCTGAGCAAGCGACCTGCAAACCTAAAGAAGAATACTATTTGTATACACTAACGGATGTATCACAAGCCCTCAAGGGCCAATCAATGCTGAAGGTTTGGTTGGCATTGCGCTGGTGCCTGCGTTGTGGTGGAGTACAGTCTCTGTGGGCTATTGATAATGAGGCTACTTTGGAGTCCCTGAACTACTTTTACAAAGAACTAGCGAGGGTAAGGGCGCCAGTGAAGCTCTCAGCCAAGCCATGTTGTGTATGAAAGATGAAGAGTTCAACGAAGAGAATTTGCACTTATTGATAGAGTTGCACTTATTGATAGAGTTGCACTTATTGATAGAGCTGCACTTATCGATAGAGTTGCACTTATCGATAGAGTTGCACTTATTGATAGAGTTGCACTTATTGATAGAGTTGCACTTATTGATAGAGTTTCTGACGCGAAGCGTGCGCAGAGTCATATTTTGCAAAATGGCGGCGATGGCGGCTAGTTTGAGTTGCTTGGTGTTTTCGATGTTTTTACAGACATAGTGAATCTTGGTTTGAACAATCTTCCGTATTTGAAAAGCCCAACATCTTTTTGCAGAATGGCCTCAAATCCTATTCCATACAGAGTTGTACCACAATTTTTTTCACTTATTTATTCAAAATTATCGATAAGTATCAAAATTTGAAGGATCCACTGGCTCAACGAGAGGAGAAAATGAACTTGAAATACATTTACAGGAAGAATCCTTGATCTGAGGTAAGAGCCAGGACTCAGCTGTTTCAAAACTGACAACAAGTTGACCAGAATCCAGGAAGTCAGCTTCGTTAAACAAGCCAAAATGTTGTGCTTGTAATTGGGATTGGATGGGCAACTAAGAAAAATGTCTTACAAGGACTTATCTTAGGCTAGATCGAAGTTTACTAGCTAAATCCCAAGATAAATACTTGTTTTGCACTAGGACTGAGGTACAAAATTTTCCTCACCTTTTAGTGTTAAAACATTGCAAAGCTTGAAGATGTTCAAAAGATTTAAAGAAAGATACAGGCTAACCTCGAAACTGGTAAGTTTTTTGTTGGATTTTACTATCACACATACACAAAATGTAATTCAGTTGAACCTCCATCCAACCGTTATCATCAAGCCTAGAAAAACTTATCTCTGGGTACACGCGCCTCCTCAATATGGGACAATGAAACAGAAGTGTCAGCAAAAATGTTTTAATTCGGACCAAAGTCTGCATTTGAATAGAGGTTTGCCTTGAACAGGGGTACATGATCGATCGCTGTTCATGAATGGTCTGATTAACTTCATTTTTCCTCTGTTTGTATGTGTCTGATTTAAAGGTGGAGGAACTTTTTCCAAACCATATAGGAACTGTTTGGATCAAGTGCCTTGTAGGCCTTATGTCTGGAGCACATCCGATAACTTAGAATCACTTTATACGGGGATACATACTATATTAGAAGCTGGTAGGGTAGGTGGTGGGAACCTGCTGACTGCCAGACCATTTTGTGACAGGTACACATATACTTTGTGAACTGTGATTGAAGTGTGCATATTAATGTGCATATT